GATGACTCATCGATAACTAGATTTCTATTTCGTTAAGAAGATTGAGATAATTTCCATAATTCTAGATAGATATCTTTTCCTAGAATATCTCATAGATTTCTTTTCCCTAGATGGTTATCTCTGCAAAATAGATTGCTACTATAAATAGCTTTCATATATCTTGTAATCATGAACTATTCTTCTCGTCAAAAGCAATAATATAGAAATTCTTTGAAGCTTCATATTCTCTTGAATGTTCCTTAAGTTGTTCTTCACTATTATTCATCCATACGATAGATTTAGGTTTTCATAACATAAATCTTGTGTTATATTGAGAAATCTGGGATCAAAAATTGGTATAAAATAGATTTAGTCAACTCTTTGATCTTGGAATGACAAATCTTCAATTGTTCTTGAAGATCAAGATTAAGCATTTCATCTTTAGATTAAGCCTTTTTCTAGCGAATCTTGTAAAAGATTTAGTTAATAGCACCAGTGATTCATCAAAGTCTGCAAGATCAGACTCTGAAAGATCCTCAGAGTTAGTAGAATCTAACTCAATGATAGTAACAGGAGGAAGAATCGAAGAATAAGAAGAAGATAGGAGTTCAGCTGAAGTATCTTCAGAGATCAGAGCTAATGGAGAGCTCTTCATTTCTCTAAAATCCTTGATTAGATTCCTTTTCAGCTCTCGAGACTGCTTATGATTGAGCAGTATCCCACATAATGTTCTAAGAGAGAGAGAGAGGACATGTCATTGGACGTTTTGAGACACATGGCATAAGTATCCCAAGATTCAGGTAAACATTCTAGAAACATCGTTAAAGTTTTAGAATTAGAATATTCTCTGCCGACAGTCTTTAAATTGATAAGAAGACAATTAAACCATTGGTGTACTTCAGACAATATCTTAGTCTTTCCACAAAGAAAGCTTTCATATTGTCTTACTAAGTTAATCTTCCTCGATTCTTGAACCTGAGAGGTTCCTTTATATTGAACACAGAGAGTGTCCCACATGGAATCTTAGGAATCTGCCGTTCAGAAATCACGGCAGTCGTAGTTGTTTCAGAAACAGCTTGAGAAATAGCATATGAAACATATGGTCCATTTTCTATATAGTGTGGAATTTCAGGATCCACACCTTCCAGAAAAGAGGGACATTCGATTCTTCCAAAGACTAAAGTTGTCTCAAATAAATCGGGGAGGTTTGGCAAGAGAGCTATTATCAAGAAGTGTGTGTTTGTGTTTTGTAAAGCCATTTGAAAGTAGTAAATTATCTAGAAAKAAAGAGAATAAAATGCACAAAAATAACTAAACAAAAAGAAAAGAAAACATTGCTCTGATATCACTTGTTGGTCTCGTAAGGGTCTACAAGAGTTTTATAGAAACAGTTTGTAGAGGGGGGCATGAATACAAACACAGGAAACTTTTCAAATTTAAAATATATATTGATAAAGAAGGATCAATACAGATTTTACAAGATTGTATGTGGAATAACTAGGGTAAAAATAACCTATCTAAAACAATCTAAGTTACACAAAAATGATCTTATCAAAGAGAAAAGATTTRTTGTTAAGACTAAGAAGGAAATGAGTTCTTTCTGGGTAAGAACTTTTTAGAATACAAAAAATGGATTCTAACTTGCTTTGAAGATAAGCGTAAGTGTTCTTAGATGTGTATGTGTGTGTTCTTTCACATATGCACGTAAGGATTACGGTGTCTCTGCATGGAKATAGCACACATCTATTTATACCCACTGCATTAAATGCACAATTAATGCAATGAAGTAGGGTTGAACACGCGTCAAGCTTTCAGAGAAAAGCTTGTCCTTAGCTATAGTGAATAGTACAAAAGCCTATTCATGAGCAGACATCCTTTCATAAAGTTGGTGGGTAGTAGAGTCAACTAATTGGCTCCGTACCGTACTATACTCTAGAAAGGGTATGGGTTTGTCCTTTGTGTGTGGAAGGACAAAACAAGAGAAATCTTGCACAACAAGCTTCTTTTGATCGCTAAATTCTAGAAAAACCCTGAAGGTCTCTTCAGCATTCGTTCTGGCTTGGGCAGTCTTCACACATATGTTGACCAGGTTGTAATCACTGAATGTCGTTTCAGATCACGAAC